AGGGCGGGGCTACACGCTGATTGACAGGTCTCTACCAGAGACGTATGTGCCGTCTCTATGTCACTCCACTCCAGATTTTTATCCCCCAAACTGCTTCAACCCTTCAAATCCTTTCTGCTTCGTAACGAACGAGTCGATATCGCTGTGATTCTTAAATAAACATTGATGACAGTAACACCGACCCGTCCGCTGTGTGCAGGATAATGCTGAGACAGTGGGAGGAGACTCAGACCATAGCCGGTCAGATGCTGGAGTCCGGCGATCAGGCGCTGCTGGTGGATTTTGACAGCCACCTGGACGACATTACAAAGGACTGGACCAACCAGAAACTCAACACCAAGATCGCAGAGCTCGCCTCGCCGGCCAACGGGAACATCTAGACGAGGAAGTAGCTCATGTGTGTTCACGGTCTGTGATTTTAACAACAACACACCAGAGTTTAGGTTGGTCTTTAATGCAACAGGGACATAACATAGAACATGCATAAATAACAACATATTTACAAGTTTGGTAGATCTCTAAAGCCCCCCCCCCCCAGTGTGCCTCGTGCTCCAACAACCATCTGATTTAAAGGAACAGTCACCTTTTAACACCTTTGTGTAATGCACCTGTGGTGTTTTTGGTTCCGTTTTGTCTTTTAAATTCCTAGATACTCACAGGCTCCAGGAGGTGGACAAAAAACTTAATTTGTTAAAGCCCAAAAGTAAAAAGTTTATGTTGTTGCGTGTCGTGTACTCAGCGGTTCATATCATGAAACCCTCGTAGTGTGGTCGTCTTGTCCCCGTCTCAGTATCATGCTAAAAAACAGAAGTAATTAATAAAATATTTGAGCGCTGCTACAAACCATCGAGTCTCACCGGTGTGAGATCTGATCAAACACAACCTTCAACCCACATCTGTAATAAAAGTACCAGCTACAACAGCCCGACATGAACAATAAGTAAATCCCCTTAGAGTGAAGTTTGATTACATTAAAAACATGTGAAAACTATTGCGTGCTTTCTTTCTACTCTACTGAACTATTTTTATCGCAGCTTCATCTTCTGTCATGATGTGTTTCCTTTATTTTACTGTTAGGTTAATATTTGACGTGTAAAGGAGTTAAAGGACGAGGTTTATTTCGTGCTGTAGTATAAAAACAATACCAGTTACTGGGTGCAGTGGTTCCCCACCTTTCTAACTTGAAACAAAGCAGTGACTTCTGTTATTTTCTGTTTGATTTGGAATAAAAACCCTTAAAATAATCCAGTTATTCACAAGAATAAAAGCTAAGATGTCTTAATATTGTAATATCCTTTCCTGTTACGGATGTAACTCGCGACCCTCTCTGAGGGTCTCCACCCACAGGTTGGGAACCACCGGCTTCTAGAGCAGAAACGTGTGCATCACATTGTCAACATTTCCAGAAAAAACCCACAGGAAACAAAACGACCAGTGCTGCAACTAACGACCATCGTCGGTACCGGTTAATAAAAACAATGTTCTTCAATTTGAATGTTATTTCTTCCAAAACCTTAAGATATAAAATGTTATATCAAACAGAATGTGACATAAAAACAACAGATTGTCACATTTAAGAAGCCGAATACAGGAGGATGTTCACAACGAATCAATTAATTAATTATCAAAATGGTTCGATCGACTCTTCAGTGTCTTCTTACATGTAGTGCTTCCAGCACACTCACTAGTCTCTGCGTCGACAGAGGGGGCAGTCATAAAAAGTGTTCTTCATAAGTGCTATAAGATCTGTTCTGTGCGAGCTCTCAGGGCTGGGTGAGATGAAAACAAACATAAGCTAGAGGCTCTTATTTTGATAGTGGAAGTCTTTCTGAAGTCAGACTGTGATACATGTTTATGTCGTCTATTGCCAGATGATGCATTTAACGTGATGAATACGTCAACGTATCGCTCAGCCCTGTATACTCTTATTTTGAAAAGAACGGGTTGTCTCTTATTTTGAAATGGACAAAGTGCCTCAGACGGTCCCACAGACGGTCGTCTCGGAGTCGGCTGAAGACACGGTGACCAGGTTCAGAGTTATCTCTCCCAGCGGAGACTCGCTGGCCAGAGACTGGAGGATGTTGATGGATTGAAAGAGCGACTGGACGTTCTGGACCTGCTGCTCTGCCCACGGGAAGCCGATCTGCAGAGGAGCGCAAGGAACGTATTATTATTATTATTATTATTATTATTATTTACTGGGAGTTCTTTCTTCTTCTACGTACAAGTTTAGTTTCTGTGTTGCTTTCATTTGGGTCACGCTGCACTGTCACTACTGTCACTATTGGGGAAATATTTTTCAATTAAAAAGCTGATTTCAACCAATTCATATTTGACCTACAAACGTATCCTTGAAATGCAAATAGTTTTAAGTCTTTAATAATTATTAACAATAGTTAAGTTAGTAACGATTAACGATCAGTAAGAAATATTCCGGTACAAATACATTTATTTTTAAAACGTGAATCTACTCTGGTAGAGTTTTAACGATACATTTCAAACGAAGTCTTTATTCTCGTGTCATAACCGTTGTGAACGTTTGTAAACATGGAGATCAATAAACAGCGAGGCGTGGAGAACACGTACATTTACCTGAACTATGATCAGTTTTGCAGACGGGTCTTCGGTGTTACTCAACTCTTCTCCGAAACACAGAGTGACGCCGCACTGAGGAGGATCGCCGCCGTTCAACCGGAAGAGGTCAAGTTCTGATGATAACAATAATAATAAAAAGAGTTAAATACATAATTAACTTCACTGTATGATTAGACTAGATTAAGATTATGGCAACATATTTTTAAACAACTTCACTGGTTTGAGAATCCACGGTGGAGTCGTTCTTGTTTTACAAAACCAAAACCCAAATATATTGAATTTAATATGTCTGACCATTGAACCAGTAAACTCACGTTGCTTGAAGGCGTCTTTACTGAAGAGCATCACCGGCTCCGTGTTCCTCTCCATCTTGTGCAGCCCCTCCGTGGCCCCGTGCGGCCCCGTCCAGAAGACCCGCCCCTGGCAGAAGCGCTTGCCGTACACGCCCTGCCGCGTGGCCGTCAGCACCACGCCTCTCTCCATGAAGGGCAGCAGAGTGAACAGGGCCTGGCGCTCCGAGCCGGCCGGCAGCGTGGACGGCGGCTCCGGCAGCGGGATGCGCGGGAACCGGCCCTTCAGGACGGCCGGCGTCGTCGGAGCGTGAGACGACGGTAAGTACATTATCCGCACGTCGCTGCTCTGGATCTGACGCTTGAGAACCTTGTGGCCTAAATAATGAACCACCACGTTGAAGGAGTCCTGAACTGAAGAGACACAAACAGAGAGGGGGGGGGGGGTTAAAACAACCCTTTCAAAATAAAAGGTCAAATAATGTCGCTCAGATAGATGCAGACTAAAGTTTATTCTGAAGGGTGTTGCACTGTAGTTAAGAACTAGAAAAGATAATGAACTCTATTGTACTTTTGTTAAACCTGTGAACCACAAAACGGAATGGAAAAGCATGTTTCCTTCAAACAATCGCCAAAAATACAAAGTTTAGTTCATCACAGCCAGAAGCTGTAAAAACCGTCAGATTTACATCTTTCTAACGGTCCTCAAACACATCGCATGTTACAAACGCTTCCATCAGAAAAAGTAACCAAACAAAGTTTAGAAACAGGATATTTCATCTGAAACATTTTATTCTACATGTTGTCATTGTTAATGTCTCCTCTAATAAAGAGTTCACTTTAACCAGAGTGTGTAGAAACATTAAAGTGTGAAACTATGACGTCATGATTGATTCATCTGAGACCAACAGTCATGTGACAACAAGGAGGAGACACTCTGACTGAACTACAGGAAGTGAACACAGAGAGGAGAGGAGAGAGGAGACTGTTCTGCACTGAAGACATGTTCTAGTTCTCTCTACTTCTAGTCATCATGGTTCTGTTTCTATAGAGGAGCAGGACTTTTATTTTGAAAATCAAGACCACAGAGAGAAAACTGCTTGAGGTTGAGTTTATTACCTCCTGTTGGAGCGTCGACGCTCTCCTCGATCCGCACGTCCAACCGGATCTCATTGACCACTGCACACAGAGAGAGTTAGATATTATTATCATAATAATAAATATAATGAATATAATGAATAGTGAGGGATCAGCTGGTTGTTTTGTAATGTTTGTTTTGTGGGCAGATACTGTTTGTCAACACAATATTGTGCAATCAAGAAACCAGGTTACTGAATGCAGGTATTTGTACAACATGTACTGTAGTACCCTGATCGCTGTGAATACTTCACCAGTAACTAGAGTTGCTCTCTTACTCTGGAGGGTTCCAGTGATTAATGTCTTGAGTTCAGGACCGTTGATGGTGTCGATGGATCGGTCTGTGACGGAGATAAACTCACCGTCTCTCTGCGCGGCGGCGACGTGCTGAGCGGGTTCTTCTGTCTGGACCGGGACGCCGCTCCACAGCAGATCCTCTTCACCACACTGAGAGCCACACAGTCGGGTTATTGCGGATGAAGAGCTCCACTTAGTGGTGTCATCACATATTCAGACTAATATGTATATATGGCCTCATTTATTCATCCATCGATGTATTTCAGAGGCACATTTAAGTATTTATTCATGTATTCATGCAGGTTAGTTTGTGTGAAGTGACTCCAGCCGTCAGATTAAAGTAGTGCAGTAAAAAGTACAACAGGAGAAGTAGAAGTACACACGAAGAAGCAGAAACACTCACCAGCTGTGAGGTGACCTCCTCCGTCTTGATCCGCTTCACCTGATCGCCGTCGCTGCTCTCAGAGTCGCTGCTGCTGCTCCTCCTCCTCCTCCTCCTCTTCCTCTTGACGGCCTTCACTTTGGGTTTCTTCTCGGGCGGCATCACACCTACACAGAACACAGAACCTTCACTAACACAAGCAAACACATGTGTGTGTTTAAGTCACACAAACGGAACAAAGAACGAACGCTCTCAGCGCTCGTTCCTCCCGGTTCACCGGCTTCAGCGTGACCTCCTCGGGGCCCCGGTGTCGGCTGTTTTGCTGAGTCAGCAGGAGGTGGTATTGCGGTCAAGTCACTTGATCTGTTATTTCCTTCAGCGCCGTCGTTTTAATAATTCATCGGTGCAGATACTGAATCCTTAAGTAACGTCAATCTCTACACAGACAGACGGTGAGGTTTAACAGCAGAATATTTAATAAAGCAAGATTTAAAAGAAATGCACCAAACTGATCAGTCAGAGTTGACCTTTGGCCTTTAGTCTCAGGAACACATGGTGATGTTTGCAGCTTCACACAGATCGTATGAAAGAGAACAACATGGAGACTAAGTGGGAGGTCTCAGAGCACCATAGAAGAAGAGCGGAAGTGACTCAGTGTTTCCATTCGTACACAGACGGTTTCCTGGAGTCATGTCGTTCACGTCTCAGTCTCTCATCGCTGCAGATATCACAGCAAAGGTGTACTTGTACACCAGAAAAGTATCTTTACAACAAAGACTTGTTACTTCAATCTCATTGTATAATAGAGATTGTTCTGCTTTTTGCTACTTTAAGTATATCTTAATGCCTAAACTTTTGTAATGCTACTTCAGTAAAGTTTTGAATACTTGTAACGGAGTATTTCTGCTTTGTGGTATTACTGGAGTACTTCTTCCACGGCTGGATTTATCACTTTATCACCTGAAATTAAGAACTGTTGTTCATGCAATCTCATAATACAACATCAATTATTCTGGTTAGTCCTTCAAGTATATTTTGATGCTAATACTTGTGTATTTTCCCTTCAGTAAAGTTTTGAGTACTTCTTCCACGGCTGGATTTATCACCTGAAAACTACTTCAACCAACGTGTTGAACTCGCGATTAATTTCCGTCACCAGACAAATAAATGAATCAACCGGTTGTTTCATCACTAATGTGCTGCAGCTTATTATTATTTTCATTATCAATTCATCTGCAAATGATGTATTTTATACATTAAATATAAAAATAAATCCTCACATCTGAGAGAAGTTCCTCCGTCTGTTTGAAGTTCGAATGTCTGAGCTTCTTGTCGGCCCTTGAACGCAGCACCGTCTTTTACCTCTAAAACAAAAGCTGCGTTCCAGATCGCATACTTTTTCCTTTTGTCTTTGAAGTGCACACTAACCCTGCCCTCACTAAGGCCGTGTGCGTCTAACCGGGACAAACTACTGAGTCGTAACATTACAGCTTGACCGTTGACCCTCTTGCTCATAAATCTGCCGTGCAGAGGATTGTGGGTCAGAATATCCAGAGAAGCACGCCGAGGTTACGTAACGGTGAGACGTCCTGGTGTTTCAGCATTTATAAAAACTATGCACGGTGATATACTAAATATAAGTACGTTAGTACGAGTGTTGGAACCAGGCGGCAACCTCCGGTTCTTTAGAGTGAAGTCAAAGCTTCACGTGTTAAAGCTGCATTCTCTCTGGAGGCTTCAAAACGTCAGTCTACAAGCCATGAGTGACGTCACGACGACTACGACTACGTCTACTTCTATATATATATATATACACACACATATGTATACATATATATACATACATATGTGTATATATATATATATATATATACATACATATGTGTATATATATATATATATACATACATATATATACATACATATACACACACATATGTATACATATATATACATACATATGTGTATATATATATATATATACATACATATATATACATACATATGTGTATATATATATATATATACATACATATGTGTGCGGCAGACAGTCGGCCATCTTGAAGACCAGCGTCTCACCTTGCTCGCTGACGGGCACCAGGCGGTAGACCTTGTAGGGCTCTGAGATGTCCAGCTGAGCTCGCTCCATCACCTCGGTGAACTCGGGGCTCTTGTTGAGGGCGCAGCGCAGACGGGTCTTCCAGGAGGCCGGGCTGTCCTGACTCCCGTCCGTCGTCTTGCCTTTGAACTTCGCCCACGCCTGCGGAGAAATCACGGAGAGGTCAACTCTTTGTTTACCTTTTTGTTACATCTCCATGCGTCCCCTGGTTCCTGTTTAACGTCACATTGCAATGCATTGTGGGTAATTCCCTGAGGCAAAGTCTGCATCCAATGCTGACTTATGGAGAGGCTTCATAAAGGGCTCAAAATGAGACTCAAGCACTCGATAGTGGGACAGAACTAAACCCTGACGTGAGGGTGGAGGTCGGGACCAGAGACTCTCTGAGAAAGACGTGAGTTAGAAACCTTGAAGATGGCGGCGTCCTCGTCTTTACGGAAGTCCTGTTTCCCGGCGTGTTTCCACGGGATGCGGAACATAGTTTTGGCGTCGTCGTCCCACACCAGCCCCGGGTATTTACCACTGCTCACCTGCAGCCGGACACACACAGAGAAGATGTACTTATACCTGATAGGCTGCTAAAATACTAGCCTCAACAAATACATGTCTAAGGGAAAATGAAATAAATATTAAATAAATAACTAAAATAAAAAGTAATCAGCAACAATTTAGTTTAATTGTTTTAGTTTCTCAAATTTGAGGATTTGTTGCTCTTTGTACTTTTACTGTGACAGAGTATATTTACTGTGTAGTACTAGTGCTGTTACTGTAACAGAGTATTTTTACTGTGTAGTACTAGTGCTGTTACTGCAGTAAATAATCTGAGTACTACCACTGATGTACAGTGATGTCACTAGAGTTCATGTATCCCTTTCTTCCTCCCTCACCCCCTCACACACTAACACACACACACACACACAAACACACACACACACACACACAAACACACACACACACACACACACACACACACACACACACACACCTGTTCGACGATCCACGAGCGCAGTCTGCGGGTGGATCTTATTCTGCCTGCTGCCATGACTCCTTTAAGACTGAAACGAACACAATACACACCAACAGTAAACAACCAGCGTCACGTGCACGTCCTCCGCACTTTAATACCACTTTATTCATAATAACATAACAATAACATTCATAATAATAATAAATACAAATATTACATCTAAAAGTTGAATCATCGACTCAGTTCGGTGTAAATATCGATTGAATCCTCGTCCAGGTTCCGCTGGAGTCGAGCCAATAAACAAACATGACCTCACTCACAAACTGCTGTTTCTACATCAACGCGTCTCTAAACGGAGTCAAGGTGTTGAGTTCTGTCTCACCTGCTCCTGTGGTTCAGAGTACTTAAATATAAAAGCTGAAGGTGTTGAATTAAGGAAGTAGTTCTTGAGTTTCGTTTACCTCGGTTGCGTTTCCTCCGCGGTGCTTTGCGGACTTGAAGCGTCTGCTCTCCGTCTCTGCGGTCCGGACTCTGCTGCCTCCCTCTGCAG